TTTTATTAATACTATTATATAAATTATGTTAATTAATAGTTGATTAAATAAAATTAATTTTTATTTTTTAAAAAATAATTAATGCAAAATATGTGCTTTTAACTTTATTAAATTAATAGTTTTTAACCCTTTATTTTATATTATAAATAATTTAACTCTTAAATTTAAAGATTTAAAATTTTATTGCCCTAAACTAACGAAATCTATTAACTTTCTGTTAAAATAAAAATAAATATTTAATGCAAAATATGTGCTTTTAACTTTATTAAATTAATAGTTTTTAACCTTTTATTTTATATTATAAATAATTTAACTCTTAAATTTAAAGATTTGAAAATTTAATCTCTAAACTATCGAAATTTGTAAGTCCTTTGTTAATGTAAAAATAAAATATTTATAAAATTAGTTCTCAAAGATAAAAAAAAAAAAATGTAACAATGTTGTTCTAACCGTTTAAGAATTAAAAGAATTAGTAAACTAAAAAAATTAACAGATGATTTTCTCATATATACTAAAATAATATTATATATTTATAATCAAATTCAGTGATTAGCTTAATTTGAGAAAAGAATTATGACTTAAATTAAAAAAAAAATTAACTGAGTTAAGATAAAAAGTTTGATAAATTAAAATAACACAGTCAAATTTTTTTAAAAATCTCAATCAAATTTCTTTCTTTAAATTAAACTAGTTACACGATTTAATTGTAGATATCTAATATTGTTCTTCTGTATGTGATAAAGTTATTCACTAATTGTTTTTAATTTAGTTTTTTTTTTTAAAATTTTTAACTTTTAGAACTAAATTATTATATTCTTAATATTTAAGAATTGATCATGTAAATATTTTATTCTCACTTTAACAGAGAATTAATGGATTCCATTAATTTAATAAATAAAATCTCTAAACTCTTAACTTCAAAAACTAAAAACTTTATAATATAAAGGAAATAACTAAAAACTTCAAACTTGTTAAGAGAAGAGACTAAATGCATATTTTAACCTATTCCTTTAGAGTATATATTAGATCATTCCTATTTTAATTTAGTTGCCTTATTTTCATCTTGTGGCTTTAATTAAATTTTTTTTATTTACACACACATATATATATATATATATATATATATATATTAATTTTCTTGCTTTACGGTGTAGAGAGTAAAAGAAGAATAGTTAGATAATGATAGCGTCCAATATTAAAAGTCTATCATCATCAAACAATAAGTGTTATATGATTTAAATTACACAATATTTTTTAGTAAATAGAAAATAAAATTTGTTTTTGATAGAATAAAAAGACAATAATATAGAGATAATTTTTTATATAATTTTTATATATTATTATATGAATAGATGCACTCAATATTATAAATTTTAAATGAGTAAAAAAAATTAATTATTCAAATGACATATAAAATTATGTTAAAAATAATATAAATAATTATCCATAAATGATTTTCTTAAAATAAAATCATAAAAAGTGTTATGCATGGTATTAAACTATACTAAATTAGTTTAAAATGTAAAATATTAGTTATTAAATTAAAAACCTTAATATTAGGAAATCCAGTCAAAATTGTAAATTCAAAGGAAATTACTAATGCATAGAATTATTTTTTTTAAAGATTATGATTCAATATTCATATACTAAGAAAAAAAATAAAGAGTTCTTTTAGTCCGAAGCTGTCAAAAAAACCAAAATATAAGCTTACAAATTTACCAAAGCATTGTTAATGAAACTTATCCCATTTCAATTCATGAGTTGGATGTTTTGTCCTTCAGACGGTGAAACATTAATTTCTTTTAATTCATTACAAATAATATTTTGTTTGCAAAAATAAAAAAATAAAAAAATAATTATAAGCTATTTATTTTGCAGGTGGAAGTAGTGCAGCGATAATTAGCGTTGATATTGTACCCAAAAAAAAAAAATAGTGTTGATATAATAAAATCCGTTGATCTAATTAAAAGCAATTCAGTTTTTTTTTTAAATAAAATTTTAAGTTTGACCTTATAAATATAAAAATGGGTGTTGAGAAAATTACTCCCATCTGAAATGAAATTTGATCTGTTTGAATTTTATATTAATTTAAATATAATGTAATTTTTAAATATCAAAATGTTAAAAATAAAAAAATATTGATATTTGAGCCTCACGATTCAATAATCATACAATAATCATAAATCAACTTATAAATTGCATCCCAACCCGAGGGTTGGGTTCAATTAACCCCTCGTCCCATATTTGTAATTTTGTTTAAAAAAAATAAAAAAATACTGCACTTGACCCTTGTAGTTTAATAGATAATAACATTTAAAAAGTGCATATTCCCTTCCCTGTTCGGGTTTCGAACCCACCATGATAAAAAGTTCAAAAAGTAAAAAAATACTGTTTTTGGTTTTTCGCCTGGTATCTGGGGTTTCACTCCGATTACTCCGGACTCGACCAGCTGTGACACATCAGAATGGTGGGTGGGTCTCCTAACGACGGCTGCTACGTACCCAATGTTTCAAACTCAAGACCTTACTTAAGCTGAAACAAGCAGTTTGCCACTTGATTCAATCCTCGTCGGTAAAAAATACTGTTGATATAATGTAAATTGTACGATACTTTTTGCCTTTGTTATTTCATTGGGCGGACTGCACGGACTGAAAAGCACAGAAGTAGATCCCTGTTGCATTGAGAGGCAGAGGAGGTTGAAGCTAAAACACTAACCTCGATTAGTCGAACATGGCGGCACCTTCTTCTCTACAAGAGCAGGTCTGTTGTTCTAAATAATGGTTTCTCATCGTAATCTTCCTTAAAAAGATGGAATTTTTTTGGTTAATATTCAATTCCTGCGTTCTTTCATGAGAGGGTCTTTGATATTTTGCATTCTAAATCACTCGGGTTTTCAAGAAAATTAAAGGGGTTGAAGTTTTAAGTGACCCATTAAGCGTTTCTATATTGATTCTTGCTTTAATCTTTTCTGGCTACGTTGGTTGGCAGGTACTGATAGAAGAGAGGTCCTTCTCAAGAATATTGACATTAAACAGGCCCAAACAACTCAATGCTCTTTCATTTGCAATGGTATGATGCTAGGATGCTTCATTTATTTATTTTTTGTTATTAACTTTTGGAGAAGTTCCATTTGACTTTGCATTAATTTCAAAAGATTTATTATACTCTTGTTTTCTGTTTTGCTTTCCTTTACCATGGCATATGCCTCAACCATTAGCAGCTGTATTCTTATTGTTGTTGCTCAGTAATGCCATAGCTTTCCTCTTTACTATAGCTTTCGCGGTTATCAGAGTGTTTCTTCGCATATGAGGAGGATCCTAAGGTCAAGATCATAATACTGAAGGTATGTTCCTTTTGAGAAGCAGTTTTGATCACTTGTCTTTCATAAAATTCAAGATATTTTGTATGGCCTTTTGGGGAAGCATAAGTAAGTTACAGGCAGCTATGCCTTGTAGTTATTTGTTTACGCACTAAACTTTGGCTGTCTGCTGCTCTACTTTTATACTTATGTTACATTTCTTTTGTTTACTGTAAATTAAATGCCATGGCTTTAGTTCAAATATGTGTTACGTGATAGCTGTAGTTATTTTGTATTTAGGGAAAAGGAAGAGCATTTTGTGCTGGTGGTGATGTTGCAGCTGTGCTTCGTGATGTAAAGGAAGGTATTGATCCTTCATTGTTTAGGTACCACATTTACTATCTGCTGTCTTGTCAGTCCAAAAGATTTGTAAAGTATAGTACTGCTGAGGTTCAAACAGCTTCATTTTCCATTTTTACCTCACATTGCCACTGCTTGTACTTGAAGTTATGCAAGCATGAAAAACCAATGTTTAAACTTGAAGTTAACAGTAAAATATTTTGAACAAAATAGTGGTTCAAAGTTAATAATGTTATATTACAAATTGAATTTGTTAGGTGATTGGAAATCTGGTGCCAAATACTTTTCAAAGGAATTCTCTTTAAATTATTTGATGGCAACATACAAGAAACCCCAGGTGACCTTTGACCTAGTTTGAATTAAAGTTTAATTTTCACTTGAGAGGTTGTACTTATGTTAGTTTTAGCCAGCAATACTTTGTCTGTTTGTTCTTATTGTGAGCACATAAAAATGATTGAAGGTTTCCATTCTTAATGGAATTGTCATGGGAGGTGGGAGTGGTCTTGCCACACATGGTAGATTTCGTGTTGCAACTGAGAACTCGGTATGTTTCTATCTAAATCAGTTTTGAAGTACTTTGGTGTGTGTGTGTGTATGTGTGTGTGTGTGTGTGTGTGTGTGTCTCTCTCTCTCTCTCCTTGTCTCTCCTTGTGAGTAGAAAATATAGGCATATCAGCATCTTTTCCTGTAAATTGCGGAAGACAGATTCTATACATGGTGGTTCTAATTGTCTAGATTCATATTTGCAGGTTTTTGCAATGCCTGAAACAGCTTTGGGACTTTTCCCAGATATAGGTGCCTCTTATTTCTTGTCAAGACTCCCTGGATTCTTTGGTAATTCCTAGTACATCCCAAGACATCTTATATCTATATAAGCTTTTAGTCATCATTCCCAGTTATATCTTCAAACTGCAAATCCTTTCACAAAGCTAGGTGAACCCTTATTCCTATTTGATGTTACATGTCAAAATTGAAGTTGGAATAAATTAGACTTTTGTGACATTGGTTTATGTCATCTCTACAAGGTGTAATGACTTTCTTTCAATGTAGGGATGGTTTTGGTTAACATAGGCCATTCATTACATGTCATTGTTGTAGTTAACACATGAAGTTGTTGATTTGAGTTTCATTATTCATTTTGCTTCTCACTAGTCTTATACGTGTGCTGTCAGGGGAATATGTTGGTCTCACTGGTGCAAGGTTGGATGGTGCAGAAATGCTTGCATGCGGTCTTGCAACTCACTATGTCCCTTCAACAGTATGACTTCCTTCTTATTTCAATCACTGAATTAGTAAGAAACAGAGTTCAAAATTTGCAGACACATATCCATCTCCATCCAAGTAGCAAGAATGAGTGAAATTGTCTTTTGAGGTCTGGGAAGAACATTTTTACTGTGTTTCTTGAGACCATCATCTAAGAACCCCCATGAACCCAAAATACAGAAGAGTTGTAAGAACCTAACTAGCTCTATGCCTTACATGTTTCAACTTTATTTCTTTAAGTTGTTTGATTGTTTATTTCATTACAAATTCTATTTGGTAACTGCTAATATTTCTTTACTTTTTCAACAGAGATTAGTTACATTAGAAAATGCACTCTGCAATGTTGGTTCGGATGACCCATCCATTGTTTCCTCAATTATTGACAAGTACTCTGAGCAACCCTATTTGAAAGAGCAGAGTTCTTACAACCGGTTAGTTTTATTAAGAATTTATTCAATTTGCCATCATTTGGAAATAAATGGATAACTAACTATATATGATTGATTGACAATGCTGCACACCCATCTATGCCATTAGATTTGTCTTATTTAACTTTTGTTTGAATTCTCTTTTAATGAAATTTGAGCTAGTCTATAATGTAAATGGAAGGTGGGACTGCCTTGGGGAGTAATTTCAAGTTTTCAACAACCCTCGTAGACATCTATCTTTACTTGGACTAAGTATGCTCTTTGAAATGAGCTAATGAAAGCCATAGTTGCTTGTCTTTCTTAGTTGTTGTTGTTGGTTTTATATATATATATATATATATATATATATTTCTTTCTTAGATCTTATATATAATAATTGGTGTCTTGCTCAGGTTAGATGTCATTAATAAATGCTTCTCCCAGAGGACGATTGAAGAAATCATATCTGCTCTTGTAAGTTGATTTGTTCCACTAGGTATATGATATTTTTAGCCTAATGTCCTGTTAAGAACCTTCCTTCCTTTCCCTTGTTTCAAGGTTTGTACTGTTGACCATACTAATTTATTCTCCTTTAGTATTCTCTGCCTGATGTACTTTGTTGGTATATTATCCACAATCTGACGAATGCTGCTATGCGGGAGAGGGAGGTTACCGATAGAAAGGATAGATGGATCACTTCCACAATTGAGACACTAAAGAAGGCTTCTCCAACAAGTCTAAAAATTTCCATTAGATCAGTAAGTGTGCATATTCATACAAATATGCCAATGAAGCATTATGACTTTTAGGTTTTCTTCTGTAAATTTCCTACTCGAGCTTTCTCATAGTTCTCCAACTTGCATTATCAATAGAAAGTGCTAACAACATTTGACTCTGAGTAAATAAATTTTATAAAACATTTTATTGTTAGCCAGTGAATTCGTTCTGGGATGTTTTGTCAATAAAGGTTTTTTTTTTTTGACTTGTCACTATCAAACTACAGCCTTGCTCAAAGATTATTCTTATTGTTTTAAGTTGTAACCCAAGAGTTTAATTCTGCTCTTATGACTCCAGATTAGAGAAGGGAGGCTCCAAGGTGTGGGTCAGTGCCTTATCCGTGAGTATAGAATGGCTTGCCATGTCTTGCGAGGTGAACTTTGCAAGGACTTTTTTGAGGTGCCTTATCCATCCCTAAAATACATGCATTTCCATTTTTCTTAAAAGGATAATCTGAAACATGAGATTCTTAATACAGGGTTGCAGAGCTATACTGATAGATAAGGATAGAAACCCGAAGGTAGATACACTTTCCTGTATATTTTTGGGCTATTCCTCTTCATGGATTCTTCTGTTATTATATTGAACTGAGGAGATTCCCTCTCCTTTTTTATTTTCAGTGGGAACCATCTAAAGTGGAGCTTGTCAATGAGAGTCAGGTTGACCAGTACTTCTCCAAGGTGAATGACAAAGAATGGGAAGATCTAAAGCTCCCTGCAAGGTCCACCAGCATGCCAGCATATGCCTTTGCCAAGCTTTAGGCGTTCATACTGCCATGGAATAGAAATTGGAAAGCACTCCTGAAAATTACTGTACCAATAAAGTTCATTTTTTTGGTACATTTGATTCTGGCTATTCAACAGGAGCTTTACCTTTGTCAAAATTGCTCTTCATTTATCTCAAGGTTTGGATTTGGGACCTATACAACTTAGAGTACCAGTTGAAACATTCCACAGGTTCTTCCGAATAAAGCTGTTCGACAGCAATGTTAAGAACTTGGAATTGAAAAATGCCTTCACAAAAGACGAGAGATTAAAACTAGAACCAATCAACAAAATTATATGAATAGAAGTTCAAAAAAATCAATCACTAGGCCAGAGATGATCTAAAGAATAGGGAATTAGGGATGGCAATGAGTCTTACGAGGTGGGGATACGAGGTGGGGATCTCTTTATCATCTCCATCCTTACTAATGGTAGGTATGAGAATCTTTGTGAGGATTTTTTATGGGTCAAAAATATTATTTGTCCTCATACCTGTGAAGAATGATAGGTTCTTACAAGTATACAAATTTCTTATCAAATATTAAATATGTAGAATTTAACATTTTTTCAATAAATAAAATAAAATAAAAATTTGAAACAACTCAAATAAATAAATATATTATACTTATAGTCTAGCAATATCTAACTCCAACAAATACATATTGCTATTCAGATTGCAATTGATTTATTGAACTGGATTTAGGAAAGATTAGAAGAGGAATTGGGTTGAGCAATTTAGGTTGAGTTGGGTTGGCCAATTGGATTCAGTGAGTTGAAATTTGAGTAAATAAAAAATAGTTGATAATATTAATATATTTATAAAAAATATATAAATAAATTTATATATATTTTTACTGTATACTGTTCCCAATGGTTTTCCATAGAATAGAGAGAAAATTTTTTGCAAAATTTCATGTAAAAAAAATGCCTCCATCTCTACTTTACAAGAACAAGTATTCTTTGAATTTCTATCCTTATAGTGAGAAATCCCACAAAACTTTAGGAGATTCGAAGGAAATTACCATTTCTCTTAAAGAATGAGGAACAATGACAGTAGGTCGCTCTGGTCTCTGGTGGTTTAACTAATACAATCTTGATCACTTTATGACTACTGGTTGATGGTTCTGTCTTCACCTTCTATTTTGGAAAAGAAACTTGACCATTTTCTAAACTAACCTAAGCAATTTATACATGGATAAAATCTATATTTGCAGTTCATTTCTGGGGGCGTTTGTTTCACCTGGTAAACGTTCTTGACAACCAATGCTTTGTTTATCTTGTGCGAGTAGTTTTCTTTACAAATAGACCGAGATTATAGTGACAACCACCCTTTTTTTTCTTTTTTTTTTTTTTTATGTAGTTGTAAAGTATAAACTACAAATTAAGTCAATACAAGAACATACAATACAAAACAACATATAAATAATTCAGAAATAATTTAAAAGATGTTAAATTATTATATATAAGTTTTTAAGTTTTGAAACCAACAAATAAAAAAAATTAATTTCTTAAAAGATTCTTACCTATATTATTAATGAAATTATAAGTTGTAATCTCTATATCTTTAGTCACTTATTTGAAAAACTCAGTGAGAACAAATTTCTCCCATAATTTACTCTTTGTTTTAATAAGAAATCTTACGTAAACATGACGCAGCATATGCCGCTTCACCGCATCCGCATGGTTGAATTTCTTTATAAATTTCTTATGACTTACTCAAAATGGTGAAGGAAGCTTCGAAGCGGAAGAACTGTCTTTGATTCTTGTCAGCCAACTACCAAAACTCACCTTAGACTCTACTTAAATGTCTGATGTCTGGTTTTCTTTGATTCATCTGCCCCAATTAATTTCGGGGTAGTTGGAGATACTCGTGAATATGTCAACTTGGGGAGAGTCCGATTTGCCCCACCTCTTTAGTTTCAGCGATAATCACTTCATGAGCTTTGAATTCAAATTTGATAAGGTAATGTTAAAGGTACAGTATCATTCCTGATGTAATGTGAAATGAGATGTAATATTAAATAAATATGATTTAAAATTAAATAAATATATATAATATTATAAATATATTTTAAATAAAAAAAATAAATGATATAATAGTAATAATATTGTAAGTTTACATAGTATTGTAATAATAATATGTTTAATTTAAAAATTAAAATTTATCATAAAAAGATTTTTTTTTGGTACTAGTACGATATTAGCATAAATTACTACAAGTACGAAAGTTTAAAATTTATTAATTTAAATGTAATATTATCTATTTATTACTAAGGAAATATATTAATTTATAAAAAAGTATAGTGTACGTAATATATTGTACTAATCATTAAATGAAAATCGATTTATTGAAAATCATTCTTTTATTTAATAATTTATATTTTATAATTAATATATTAAAATTTCATAAATTTATTGTATTTTTAACTTATAACTAATGTTATATATATATAAAACTCAAAAGCAGTGTCATGTTATCAGCATAACCTGTCCCTGGAGGTTTTATTGATTTTTTTTTTTTAAACAATATTACAATTATTCCTATAATACTAAGGGGGGAAATGGGAAAAGGGAAATCAAGGGATTCAAACATTCAATCCAAATGATATTTTCACAAAAATTCATGACAAACACTAGATGTAAAGCTGAGGAACAACCTGTCCCTAGAGGTTGAAAAAACTCTTTACAATAAGTTTGCATTTTATTTTCCTAAGAAAGAAAATTAATTAGTTACAAAATCCCAAATAATTCTTCATTTCATGAGGAAAACATGGATATTTACTCCAGTAATTCCCATGCAGCTTCAATATCTTGATCACCTTCTCCTTTGTGGACGATCTTCCTTCCAAATGCAACAATGCTAAAAGCTTCTTTACGGATCCACACACCAGCATTTCCTCCAAAACTTTCTCCGTCGGGTGAAAACTGCCGATCAGCCACATGATCTTCACTACAATCTTCGTCGCCGTGTAGGAGACCTGCATCAGTTTTTTAGACACGGCAGCTATTCCCAAACCGTGCTCCACCAGCGCCTGCCTCCCCTCCGCACATTCACAGAGTAACTTGATCAGAAGCAGAATTTTCTCGCATTTGGATCCGTTTGAGTCCGGTAATAGCTCGATGAAAACGCAAACTGCGCCGGATTCTATGGCCTTCAATCGGCTCTTCTTCGACGGGTCTAAGATCTCGATTAGAAGCTTCAACGAACAAGAACTCACCTTGCTGCAGATGTCATCAGAAGCAAGCTCTAACAGAGATTTGAAGAAATCTATTCCTTGATCTTGAATCAAGATATTCCAATCGTAATCTGTGCTTGTCGCTATTTCCCTGAAAATCGCAACGGCGTAGAGTCTGGAATCGTTGCCTCCTCTTTGAAGCACAATCGCCACTGATTTCATGCACTCTGTTTTAGATAAAATTTTGAATGCTCTGTTTTGACCTTCCGATAACGGAAGGTTATGCAGCACGCCAAGCGCCTCTTCGCAGGCTCGAAACGTGATATAATCGGAAAAATCGATTAAAATCTGAACGATTATTGGAACAACGATTTCAACGCCGCCGGATTGGATGAAATCTGATTTAATCTCTTCACCAATTTCGATAATTGAGCGGAGTTTCTTCAAGGCAGTTACCTTGAACGGAGAGGACTCGAGAGAGCTGAGGAGTGAGATCAACTCGTCGTGCTTGGCGGAGAACGGCGTCGGTGGAGGCAGAGATGAGGGAGATTGTGCGTCCTGCCATGCGAGGATGAGGCGATTGAGGGTGTGATTTGGGGTGATATCGAAGCTGTGGACTAACTGCATTGTGGCGGGGCAGGTGGTCTTCTTGTAAGTGAAGAGCCATTTCTCGATGTTCTTGCGCTCGTAGGTGACGCCCGTTGCGATAGTCACCGGATCGCTCATGAGCTCCATGGAAATCGGGCACCGGAAATCAGCCGGACAGTCGAATTCCTCCATATCGCTATCGCCTGAATCTGTTTCGAAATCATCCCTAAACTTCAAAAGATGGAGAGAGAAGTAGACAACGTGGAATGGTACAAAGTTTAAAAGAAGATAGAAAACACGGGATGCTAACTAAGAAATATTCAAAGTCAAATATCATCCATGCAATTGCAAGTTATTATTTACAAAATAATAGATATATGAGAGATAATTATTGCTCACAATTTTTTATTTATATAATTTTACTTATTATACAATAACATGAAGTATGAAACTAAGGTGGAGTTTGACAGCGTTGATTTGTACTTGTAGTGAGATGTTTTTTTAATTTTTTAATATTTTAAAAATATATAAAATATATTTAATATATATTTTAATAAACATTTTATATATTATTAAAATAATAAAAAGATATCAAAACTAAATGATAGAGTACCAAAAAAGGTTTTCAAACGAAACTTAATTTATATGGTCTTATGACTCATTTCTCTCTTACTTTATTCCTTTAACCCCATGTTTTGGTTAAGGGAAATAGAGAGAATGAGAAGGGAGAGAAGGAAAATATTTTTCCTTTATTCTCTTCCTCTTCATTTTTTTCATTGGATAAATAACTGAATTAAAAAAAAAATAAAGTAAACATAAGGTAAATGGAACTTTTTCCCTTCTTTCCTTTCCAATTTTTTTATAATCAAATAGAGAATTTCCACCCTCTCCCCTCTATTCTTTACAATCCAAACATATTATAAGTGCAATAGTTGGATGCCATCTTTGTTTAACTTTAGTGGATTTGGCCTTTTTTTTTTATGTAATAAAATAAGGATATAATAATTAATGGATAAATTTCATATTTATTTTTAATTAATTAATTATAACTTAAATAGACCTTTTTATTTAATATTTTTTGTGATTTTTTTAAAAGTAAAATAAGAATAAATATATTAAATGACATCTTAAACTAGAAAAATAGACAATTAAATTTGAATGCTACAAATTAAAAATTAAGTCTACTAAAATTTCATGAATGAAGTAGAAAATTATATTTGAAGGGTTTATTTAAGATAAAAGTTAAGTAAAGGGGTTTGATTGGACAAATGAATTAACTGATACTAAATTAATCTTAAAGTTTTTCCATTAATATTTGATACTTTACGGCAAAAGTCTAATTACTAGTCCTTATTAGAACAAGCTTTTTGCCAAAAGTTTCAATTTTCACTTCTCTCTAAAAAAAAAAAAGTTTCAATTTTCACTTTTAGAAATGAAAATTAGACGGGGCGAGTCTAATTACTAGTCATTATTAGAACAAGCTTTTTGCCCAAAGTTTCGATTTTCACTTCTCAAAAAAAAAAAAAAAAAGTTTCAATTTTCTCTTTTAGAAATGAAAATACTGATATTAATTTTAAGACTTATATTGCCACCTAGATGAAATGATTTTAATTGGATGATTCATAAATTAAAAATCAAATTTTATTTTTTTAACACAAATTAATTATCAAAAAGTGTATTATTGTGTTTTTAAGGGGCACAGGTTGGAAATCCAAAAATAAATTAATTAGCCATATCCAAATAAATGAGTTGATTTAATGGTACACATGGCTGCTTTCAAGTTATAAGTGGGCAGATTTAACGAAGGATAATGATATGCAAACAACATAAAACTTTTATTTACATGCATAGTGAGTAGATGCATACCTACCCCATGTTAGTTGCTCGTGGTGGCTTATGTGGAATGTGGAGTTTGAATGATTGTCTAAGGATGATATTAGTATTGGGGTTGTCTGGTGCAGATGACTTGGGTTACCCTCGCTCTTTCATTCTCTATTTTTCCTACTTCATGCTGGTTGTTGGGGGCAGCTTATGTGGAATGTGGAGTTTGATGGTCGTCCTTTTTGTGTACTTCTTGTCTAAGAACGATGCTAGTGCTGGGCTGGCTACTATTTCACATCTAAAATGGAAAGAGTTACTCCTTGTGTCCCAAAATAATTGTTATTGTTTATTATTTTGAATTTATCTCAAATTGATTATCATTATTATTTTTTTTTCTTGGTTTAACCCAATCATCATCCCTTTACTTTAATTATTTATCCTATCAAGAAAAATTTTTATTTATCTATTATTTGTTTTTGAGGGATAATTTAGGTAAACATAAAAATTTTCCTCAAATTCTTAATTTAGGAAAAAGTAAAAAATGAAAATTATTTGAGATAAAAAGAGTAATTATTAACTGATATTTGAAATTATATTAACAAATTTATACATAAAAGTTGTTCCTAGATCATTTTCTTTTGAAAAATGAGAGGATTATTTGTTGCCTACTATTTGATCCTTAGATGTACTAAAAAGATTTTAAATTACAATAAAAAAAAGATTTTAAAATTAATTTAAAACCTCAATTGAAAAGGTTAATTTCTACCATGTTTTGTTAAATTACTAGTACTAAACTTTGGTTTTACATTTGTTTTGAACATTTTTCATGAATGTAATGAATGTGTCACTCATGTTGGAGGAAAGCTACATACAATGTTGGAAGTATTTTAATAAAGGGTTTGTCTAACTTGTGCCTTTAAGCACAAGTTAATAGCATAATAAATGTATTTTTAATAAATTTGTATTGAAAAATAAAAATTAATTTTTAATTTATCAATTGTCTAATTAAATTCATCCACTTGACATTAATAATAAAATTAATATTAGCTTTTACATTTTTCTATATACATTTATGACAAAAAAATGACTCATTCTAAACCCTTTAATAAAAACCGTTTATTAGCAACTTACTTATTCCAGTTACAATTCTATAAGAATTCAAGATGAGATTTAGTGTCCAAATACGTTGGGCTTTATGGCTTTCATGCATGCAATAGACTAATTAATTACTATTGGTTTTTTTCTTTTTTATGGTGAAAATTACTATTAGCATATAGCAGCTTATATCCGTTTGGTACTTAATGTGTGCTCTTGAGTTGCAAGATATATATATATATATATATATATATATATATTGTTGGCTACGCATCCATTGATGATGGAATGTGCTCTTGAATTGCAACATTACAATCACAGTTACATTTCTCTTACATATATCCGTACACCATATTGATCATGATGATGCTTCAAACGTTTATCTTCTTCTCTTTGCATCAAAGTAGCATCATCTCATGTGGGTAATGAATGGTGTTATGACCCATGGACAGAGCTTGACTCAAAGTATAGCATATGATAAAATTTTGATTGAAAGACAAGTTACATTTAGTTGGATTGTGGATTTTGAATTTTATATAGGAGTATTTAATAACTAGCTTTTTAAAAAAAAATTATTATTATTTAATCATAAGAGTGTTTTATATTAGTTTGTATCCACCTTAAAACTAATTCCTCTTCAGTTTTTATCAAAAATAAATCATTAATATTAGAATTAGAGAATGCATAAGAGATTACCTTTCCTAAAGAATCTTTAATAACTACCTAATACTATATGAGAAAAATGTTGTGTAATCTAAATTGTACTAAACTACCTAATGTTGAGTCTTTTGATATTAGGGATTTTACTCCTATCTAATAACTCTTGTTTTATAGTTTAATAAAGCCTAAACTGTAAAATAGAGTACTCATACTATATGTAGGAAATTGTGATTTCCAAATATAGTACTGGTTTTAAATATGAATTATTTTAACTAGTACCTTAAGGATACAAATTAAGGTTATATTTATTGCACTTTTTTTATTATTAATGTACATTAAAAAATTAAAAGTTAATATTAATTTTATCCTTTGTCTAATTAAAAAAAATTAATATGGTTTAAATGTTAAAATTAATGTCAATTTTTTATAATTTTTTTTATAAATTAATGCTTAATTAATGATAAAAAAGGTACAATAAATGAATCCTTTGTCTAATTAAAAAAAATTAATATGGTTTAAATGTTAAAATTAATGTCAATTTTTTATTTTCATGTAAATTAATACATTTAAAATATTCTTAATTTATGTCCTTAAATTACATATTAAACAAACCCTCTAAATATTGTATTAATTATTAAATATATATAAAACATAAAATTAAAAATAGAAACTTACGAGTCACAACCAATCTAAAATGGAGGGTAAGTTTTATTTATTTATTTATTTTTTCTTCTTCTCTCATTCAAAAGAGTTTGACCTACACCAAAGTTATTATTAATCTTGAGAGAAAAAAGTAAAAAAAAAAAAAATTATGCACGTATTTATTTTTTGGGCCGTCCTGCAGTGTTTATCTAATCTGAATTTTTTAGGGATGGTCTTATGAGTTATGATTGGACGACCCAAAACTCCAGCTGCAGAGTGGGCCTTATAACACTGATATGGGCCATAGGGCCTGCATAACGAACGTGAAAATTGAGGCCCATTTGTTCCCGCGAGAGGTTTGCACTTCGCCGTGCGCAAAAGCCGAAATGTTGGTGGGATTGGGAAGAAACGAGAAGTCACCACCTCAATGAGGCCGCCCGGCCACCACCGGCAGCGAGGCCGACCAGCTATTCCGGCGCTATCGCTGTGTAAGGCAACAATTGGATTGGGAAGAGAGGAAATAAGGGAAAGGATAACATAAAAAGGAAGTTGTTATTCATCTTCCCGCGAGAATCTGCCATGATCGGGCGGCCTTCCCGCTGCTCCACTCCACACCTTGGAACACTGCATTTGTCATTGCCGCCAATACAAGCATTTCCAATTCTCTTCTTCATCCCTCATTCCAGCCCTAAATCCACCATCTTCGAGCTCCGTGAATCTTCGAACAATAGGTGTGTTTTTCTTAATTTGATTTCTTTTAGGTTTCTGTTTTGTGATTTTGTTTGCAAAGATAATGTAGATTCTTAATTGTTTGGGGCATCCATTTTTTTAATTTTCTTTGATTGAGCTGATGCCTGAGATTTTGTTCCTTTGTTTTTAATCTTTGGAATTTTGCTTTCTTAGGTACCAATTTTGTGTTCACAGATGGCTGCCCTTGAAAATCAGACCAAAACCAAAGGAAGACATCAGTCAAGGAAAACCAGTGCCCACAATTCGAAGGCAGATGATGAATCAGTTCACAATCCAATCTAATTGCAAAGTTATGAAAGTTTGTGGAGATGGAGAAGGCGATAAGAAATGCTAATTGCAAAGCTGAGATTGTGAATGCAGTTGTAAAGAAGCTTGAAATTCAGAATGCAGAGATTAGGGTAGAGATGGAAGCCTTCAAGTTGAGTGCAGAAGTTGCCAAGAAAGAAACGAAACGCCTCAAGAGGATTATGGCATTGGAGAAACAGCATAACAAACTGAAGGGAGAGCTCCAGGACAAGAAAAAGAAGTCTTTGCAGTTGTAACAAGAGTTAGTTGCCATTCAGAAGGCTCAAAAGAAGATCGAGGTGCGCTATAATTGAAGAGTTAATTGTTAATCTGAATTAGTATTTTCATCCGTCTGACTTTTACTTGTCTTAATCTCTCACATTGCTCGATGAAATTGAATCATCCATCTGGCACTTTTGTTCAGCTTGCTGAATAAAAGACCACCTCCAATCTAGGAATCTGTTTCAGGGTTGAATTGGCAATTCATGTGTGTTTAGGTCTTGGTGAATGGTGTGCAAAATAAACATAATCATCTGGGCATTAATTGTACATGTTTTATAGAAAATTGTTAGAATCTTTTATTCCAGACTGAAAAGCAACTGGCTTCTGCTTCCATTCTTGTGAAATAACATTTGCCATGTGGAATTGATTCTTCCTATGTTGGTTGGTTCACTTTCACTTTTATTAATCTATAGACAAAAAGTTTTTAAAATGCGTTCTTTTTAAAATAATGCAGGGAAAGTGGAGGCATGAAATGCAGGCTAAGGAGCTAGCAAAAACCCAGATTCCAGAAGAACTGAAAATAAAGGAAGAAGCTGATGCCAATTTAAAGAGGAAGCTGGAGACTGCTCACCAGAATATGGTGGCGGATTGTCAGCCTCATAAAGATGATATGCAAAGACTCATGGAGGAAGTTTCTCGTCTCCAAATATCTTCAGATTTGGCCAATCAATGGCATCAGCAGATTGTGTTGCTGCTGGGTCATTTAGAGCTGGAAAGGGAACAGATAAGACACATTCAGTGTGATGCATCTTAATCAGAATTTGTCAGCACATCTGTTTGAGGAAAAAGTCAGTGATCATTGGTGCTTGATCTGTACACACAACGAGGCACCAATACTCCTCGTCCCTTGTGCCCATCAACTCCTATGTTTCAATTGCGCTAATCATTTCAACCATACAGATGCTAGGCACCGTTGTTGACAAGTTCCAATTATTCAGAGAGTACACGAGTCTATGGTGTGAGCTCGCAGCTTCAAACTAACATCAATCATTCACAGGTAGGCCCAAAAAATTCGCACCATTTTCTTGAGTGGCCCATCATCATATATCTTCATGTTTTGCATTATTACCTGACATTTAATTGTTCTGAGAAGCTTGGAAATCGTTAGTGAAACATGGAAGCCACTGTTTTATGGTAACCATTTTATTACCAACTTGAAAAAGAGGTGATTTTGGTCTACGAATTGAGTTTGGGAATACGGATACACGAAAGGAAAGATGCTAGCACTGTTTCAGTTCCCAAATCATTTCATCTTCACAAGCCACATCGAAAATGTCATGCGTAGAAAGAAACGAAAGGCAAAAGAAAAAGACAACGTAATCAGTAAGCAAATGGCACGCTTAGACAAAATGAGCGTCATGTGGACCACTAGTTGGAGTGTGGAGTGTTGCAAGCGTGACAAGAATGAATAAATTCATTGTTGTCGTATATACCTATCTCCAACTCACACTTCTCACGTTAAAACATTAATGTAAACAAAAACAAAACTATCCATTGAAAATAACCCTAGCTTACCTGCAGCTCCATATCTTCAAGATTAGTTTTTTTTTTTTTTTTTTGGTTGCCGACAAAATTCTTATAAGATTTGTACTTCATTAACAAAAAAAATTATTTTGTAATTTAAGTTGTATTAACTAAAACTATTAAATGGAGGTTTAAAGCCAATTGTCGTCCCTCTACTTTCATATTTTATTCATTCTTGTCCCTCTACTAAAGATTTGTTCGTTGTCATCCCTCTACTATGCCAAATAGCCAAACGTCATCCCTCTACTCCTCTTTTTTGGTTCATTTTCGTCCCTTCCCTGACGCCGTTCATGTTGCCCTACACCTCTTTTTTGGTTCATTGTCATCCCTTCCCTGACGACGTTCATGTTGCTATCATTGCTGACCGTTTTAGGACTCAACGGTCAGCAATTAAACCCATTTGTTCTTTTTTTTTTCTACATGTGCTGCCATGTGCAAGAATGGGGA